CGAGGAGGAGGATGGAAGTGGAGGAGGCGGAGGCGGGTGAGGAGGAAGAAGGAGGAGGAGGGGGAGGAGGGGGAGGCAAAGGATGATGCGGGGGAGGAGGAATAGGAGGGGGAAGGGGTGAGAGGGAGGAGGGGGGAGGTCGATCGTTTCGCCGTCGATCGTGAGCCTCCGAAAAGTGCTCAGAGAAGCGGAGCGATCACGCTGAGCGGGAGCGACGCGTCGCTCAGCGATCGTCCAAAGGCCTCGCGACCGATGCGATGAACACCTCTGAAGGTGGACCGAGAAGCGTCGCAGAGGGTACCACTGTCAGACGACGCGCGCGTCGTCTTTGAGATTCCCAAAGACGACGCGTTGTCGTCTTTGAGATTCTCAAAGACGACGCGCGTGTCGCCTTTGAGATTCTCAAAGACGACACTTTGGTAATATTAAATCTAATAGAGATTTTGTCGTCTTTGAGATTCTCAAAGACGACGCGCGTGTCGTCTTTGATATTCTCAAAGACGACACGTTGTCGTCTTTGAGATTCTCAAAGACGACGCCCGTGTCGTTTGACAGCGGTACCCTCTGCGACGATTCTTGATCCGCACTCGTGGCAGCCCTCAGCTGCTGTGCGCCCCCGCAGCTTCGGCAGCAACTCCTGTGCTGAGTCGCCGCCGTGGGAGCCTCGACCCCTTCCGACGGGGCACGCCTCGCCGACCGCGCGACGACGACGACGACAACGCTGACGACGACGACGACGACGACCGCGACCACGACCACGACGACGACACGGTGGTCGGCGACGTGTGCCCCGTGATCACACGGAGCTTGGGCCCGCCGCGCTCGCCGCAGCGTAGTCGGCGACCGCCTTCAGCCACACCTGCGGCTGCGTGCGGCGGCTCCAGGCCGCGTACTTCTGGTCCTGCTCGGACAGGTCACTCAAGCCCTGCAGGTGCTCCCGCACGGCCAACGCTTTGGCGAGGCGGATGTGCTTGCCCCCGCGGGGGCGGGGGCCGTCGCCCCCGCCCCCGTCCTTGCCGTCGCCGTTCTTGTGGCCGCCGTAGCCGTCCTTCTTGTGGCCGCCGTAGCCGTCCTTCTTGTGGCTGTAGTAGCCGTCGCCCTTGTCGTGGCTGTCGTAGCCGTCGCCCTTCTCGTGGCTGTAGTAGCCGTCGCCCTTCCCGTGGCCGTTGTAGCCGTCGCCTTTGTGGCCGTAGTGGCCGTCGCCCTTGTCGCGGCCGCGCCACTCCTGGCCGTTGTAGCCGTCGCCTTTGTGGCCGTAGTAGCCGTCGCCCTTCTCGTGGCTGTAGTAGCCGTCGCCCGTCTCGTGGCCATAGTAGCCGCCGCCCTTCTCGTGGCCATAGTAGCCGTCGCCATTGTGGCCATAGTCGCCGTCGCCCTTGTGGCCATAGTAGCCGTCGCCCTTCTCACGGCCGTAGTAGCCGTCCTTGGCCCACCAGCCGTCCTTGCCGTAGTAGCCGTTCTTGGTGTGGCCGCCGTAGTTGCCGTCCTTGTTGTGGCCGTAGTAGTAGCCGTCCTTGCTGTAGTAGCTGTCTTTGCCGCCGCGGCTGCAGCCGTCGTTGCCGTCCTTGTTGTAGTAGCTGTCTTTGCCGCCAGCGCCCTCGCTGCTGTCGGCGTGGCTGTAGTCGAAGTCGTTGCCGCCGTAGTGCGAGCCCACGTAGTAGTGGCGGCTTTTACGGCCACTGCTATAGCAGTGGCCGTAGTAGCCGTAGCCCTCGGCGTCGCCATCGGCGGTGTAGCTCTCGCCCGCGCTGTCGTCGTGGCCACCGCCCTCAGCGTCGCCACCCTCGTACTCATCCGCCGTGGCGCCCTCGTAGTCGCCGTCGTCCTCGTCGACCGCGTCGCCGCCGCCCGCGGCGTCGTCGCCACCGCCCTCGGGCTCGTCGACCTCGAACTCGAGAAGGTCCTTCATCGAGTTCATAGCCGGGTTCATGGGCGGCGCGAGGTTGAGCTTCTCGAGCAGCGAGTCCGCCACCGATCCGCGCCACGTCTGCACGCGAGTCTGTTGTGCCGACCAGCACATCGCCTTGCGCTTCTTCTCGGCGGAGGCCATGGCGGCCGCCGAGATGTGCCCTGGCGGAGCCGTCCGCGGCGCGGTCGGCCGCTTCTTCGAAGTCGGTTGCAGCCGTGGCTTCTCATCCGCCACCTTCTCCCGTCGCTGCTGTATCTCGCTCGCCGCTGCGAGCAACATTGCCACCTCGGTGACGTCCTCGCCACCACCGCTCATCCGGGCCAGGCGGGGTGGGGGCGAGGCCGCGGCGGGCGTCGGGGGCCCCGCGGGGCTGGGGGGGCGAGCACCCTGTGGAGGAGCGGGGCCCGCGCCGTGAACCCACGGCCCGCGCGCCGCGGGCGTGGCTGAACACATGGGCCACAACGGCGTCGGAAAGAGAGAGAGAGAGAGAGAGAGAGAGAGAGACGCGGATCTTTATAGTTCCTCGTGCATCTTAGATGGACTCTACACATATACAGACCACGCAAAGCTTGCAGTACTGTACTCACCCGAAAGTCGAAATCCTTAACCTACGAAGCTCTACGCTACTGTGCCGTTCGACATCAAACTACGATATTACAAATACCAAACATTATCTCGCCCTAACCGAAGCTAGTCTAACACCCACATCAATAACTCACGGCGTCGCGCGCACATAACAACACAACGGCTGTGGTGAAATAGTTTGCATACGCATAATGTGATTTGTGATGCTGACGCTAGCGTCTCTTACATGACATGTACGTTCGAGTCGGTGTGTATCGGTGGCAATGGCAGTGGCAATTGTGCGGCCGACGATGTGGCAGATGCGATTGTCACCATATTGAGAATCATGCACAGTTGCGTCGCAAGCAAATGTTGCTGAACGCGTGTGCAACGATGATGGTTTTCACACCCATGGCGCTGGCTGTATCCCCATAAGCAGCACGCCCAACTACGAGCTCGCATATATCGCATGCGAAGTAAACTGCATGCCCCCCCCATATATCACGCACAATGTGTCCCCGACCCCATTCCCATTCGAACCCCAGACCAACCATTTGCTCCTGGCCCCCCAAGTCGGCCACCCCCAAGCCCCCCACCCCGCGACGTTGCCACCCCGCGACGTCGCCTCTGCGGAGCATCCGCATCGCCGTGTTGGATGTAGGGTTCATGGGGATTGGGTCGGGGCGCTCGTACGTAGCGGCTGGCGCTCGCACGCGAGCCCCGCGCAGCCCCCCCGAGGACGGATCGGGCCCCGCACATCACCCCGTGGTGTCGTCCGAGAGCCGCGCTGCGATGGCGCCCGAGACCCCTGGCAAAGTCGCCGCGATGCGGCAGCTTCGCGAGGCGGGCGTCGTCGCCTTAAGTTCGTCGTCGTCGATGTCGTCGCCGCCGCCGTCGCCCCTCCACCTGCCGATAGAAGGCTTTGCTTACGCACGTAAATGCTGCACAAGTGTTGCTAGCACGAGCGGGCGATGTGGAGGGCGATCTCTTGCTGCGCGGTCAGCAGCACGATCACTTGCTCGCGGAGTTGGGGGAACAGCAGCGCACGATCGCGGAGCAGCGGCACCAGCAGCAGCAGGCGGAGGCAGCGCTACAGCAGCAGCAGCAGACGGAGGCAGCGCAGAAGGTCGAGGGGCTGGAGCAGGAGGTGCAGGCCCTCAGGACGAGTTGGCGCTCTATAAGAGGTCGTTCCCAGATGGTTCCTTGTTGAACATTCAGGGGTGAGGGGTGGCGGCGGCACGTCTGCCTGAAGAGCGCATCTAGGATGCGAACGGGCGAGGAGTGGCACGAGGGGGCGTGTAAAACGATGGCGACGAGCCCCCCCCCCTCCCCCTCCTCCCCCCCCCGCGGGTGGGAAGGACGACGGGGCCGACGGTGGGAGAATAGATAGGAGGTCGAAAGGGTGGGCGCGCTGTGCGTGCCCGACGCAGCGCCTGGCGTCTCAGCCCTGGGCGTCGCTATCACCCGCAGCATCGACATTGTCGTCTTCGCCATCGCCCTGTTGATCTTCGGGTCCACCCCCCTCGGCATGCTCGGCACAATTCAGCCCATGGAGAAGATCGGCATCGGGCTCGTGATCCTCTATCTCCTCGCCCTTCGCGACCACTTTGTCGCGTAGCTCGCGGGCGCAGTGCAAAATGCACGTGTCAGTCCATTCCACTGGTTTTTGATAGATGCGTCTTGACGAGTTGTGGGATTTCACAACGACATACACCACCCTGCGACGCTTGTCGCATCGGACCCCTGGTACTCCGCTCAGTCCTCTCTTTTGTTTCTCGGTGCCACCATCCTCTGCTGCTTTCAGCGCAGCACATCTGATGTAAGTCAGTACGCTCTCTGTACATTCCACATGTACCTTGCTAATCGCTGGCGCAGAAACTATGCATCTTACTGCGATCGGCTCGCACTTCAAGGCCACGCCGCCACCATGAAATTCAACCCCTGACAACTGAACCGTAACGTATGCTGGCATAGCACTCTCGTCGATGTTCTTCTTGTAGGCCTTGATCAGTTTGTCTTGGTCAGACTGGTCCGACAGCAATGGGTCTCGCGATTTCATGTACTCCCATATCGCAATGTCCGATGCAGCGTTTCGGAGGGCCTTCCGCTCTTTGAAGAAATGGTTTTGGGCAAATGGGGCGTTCCTGCTTGTTGGGTTCTGGATGTCGACGAACTGGAAGAGCCTCCTGTCCATCAGGGATACCTCGATGAACGCAATACCCCCGCTATGGACAATAGTCCGCGGTATCCACGGCCCCTTGAGCCCGCCGCCCTCGATCACCGTGCGCGTGGAAACAGACGCTGACATGCAGACGTGCGGGGCAGCGTGGGCCGCGTGATACCCCAGCGGTTGAGCCAGAACGGCTATGGTGCGTTGCGACGATGTCGCAGACTGGCGCGATGCTGCATCGCAGAGTGATGCGATGCGATGGTGTGATGACGCATCGCAGTATGAAGCATTTCAGTATGTCTTCGCCATCCAACAAGGTGCGTTCATATACGGAGGGCGACGCCAACGCCCTGCGTAATGCCGCGGCAATGCGGCGAATTGGCGGCCCACTGCGTCTTTGCTTTTTTCTTGGCGGGCTTGGCGGGCGTGGCGTCGGACAATGCAACTTTCCTTGCAAGTGCCTTTGCTGTGTCCTCGGACATGCGCAACCTGTCGCCGCTCTTGAGCTCGACCGTGTTTTTGAGGATGGGTACCTTAATGCCGTTCGTGGCGGTCACAAATGTCACAGCCAAGTTTGGCTTCTCCTTCGCGGTGCACACGCCGACCAACCAGAAAGGCACCCCGTGCTGATCTGGCACGCGCTTCAGACCACCAATGCCAGCCCCACCCTCCTCACGCTTGAGCCTGGGCCCGCCAGCGGCCATCAGCGCGACGTTGTAATCGGCATGCTTGGCAGGGTCGGTATATTTCCTAAGGCAAACGTTGCCAATATTGATCTCATCCGTCGCCTTCTTGAGCGATATGGTTGTCGTCGACGGAACGAGTCCGATGGCGTCCTTCTTGGACTCCTTCTTCACTGACACCGCTTTATATTTGATTGGCGAATGAATCGCCGTGATATGCTTGAGGCAAGCACTATGTTGTGAATAGACTTCGTCGAGTGCAATCTGGATCCGAGCTTCCTCGGTCCCCCAGTGGTAGTCCATGCAATTCAATGGGCTAAACTGGTCGAACTGGTCGATTACCTCTTTCTTGATGTCGTATATTGCGAACTTTGTTCGCATGAGGTCCTCGGCATCTATGGTGCGCTCTACGTCTCCCGTCTGCATCTTCACATTCTGCCCATCAATCGCCTTGATCTCATACACAGACTCATCGCCCTCCTGGCGGTTGTACACCGCCACGCCCACCTTGAAACCTTTGACAGCCAACGTTTCGGACACGTTCACCCACTCGCCACGCTGGCCAAAGGTCTTGACACCTGTCGAGGAGACGCTGCTAGCACACTGTGGTGCATGCGCGACGGCCTTGGCCTTCCATGGGCAGCGAACGTTGTTATTGCCAGTGCTGGCAGCCATAGCTTTCCAAGCGTCAACTGCGATGTCGGTGATCTGTTTGTATACCCCGCGGCTCTCGTCGGGCTTGTTGAAGACGAAGTGGGCAACTCGAACATCGGCGAGCCCGATTATGTTGGACCAGCGAGCGCTCGATGGATCGATTTCGAAGTCTATCGCAAGCTTGCGAATGTTCTGCAGCAGCTCATCGCCCTGTAACGCGATCTGCGCCTTGCGTTCGTTCTGCAACACATTGACGTCCGAGAGCTTCAGTAGCGTCTGCTCGTCGCCCTTCCTATACTTGTCGCTCGGGCCATGCATAGCCTTGATGCACGCGAGCTTGAATAGCACCCCCGACCCCTCCTTCGCGATCTTGCAAGTCGCGACGGCTGCCGCGACATCGGACTTTACTATCGTCGCTCTGGCCAGGTGCCTGTTGAAGTCCCTTAGCTCGTGAAGAAACACTGGATTGTCCAGTCCGCCTGACATCTCCTTCACATAGTCCACCATGTGGTCTATCTCATGCTTGGAGACTGCGCCCCTTCCCGCCTGGCGCCTGACCTTATCCCATGGGAACTTCTCATTCGGATTCAGCTCTAATTTCTGCTTCAGGCTCTTCGCGTACTGCGCAATCTTGAGCATGATTTCCAGCCTGCTCTCGCACTTGGCAGCGGCCTGCCCTGCGTTGCCCGCTTCTTTCACAAGGTCTGGAACGAAAGGAAACGCCTCGATAAACTGCCATTTGAAGATGTCCCATGTGATACCGTTTACAGCCGCATCAGCATAAGTTGGTTGGAATTGCTGGAGGCGCTGCAATGATATCTTCCCGTCCTGGCTTATGTCGCTGAACCGCTCTGGGTTGGTCTCGGGCACGTTCGTGCCATGTATGATGCGATGTATGGCCGCATGTGTAACTCTGATATATACCATCACCATCATCGTAGAACGGCAGCTGTCCTGCGCTATCGGCCATTATCTTGTCGTTAAACTTTTTGATCTTGAGGTACTCCGCAGTGCCCACTGGGGGCGCCTCGGCACTCGTAGGCATCCACAGATGCTCGTGCCTGAACCCATTTCCCAAGATTTTAATGATCAAGTCATTGACGTCACACGGCACGACGCCGTCGCCATATCTGTTGCATGGGCTCACGTACATATACTTACTGTTGATTTTCTCTGTCAGTAGCATACCATGTTGGCGAGCTATCGCCTTGACCTGTTCGTGCAAATCCACCACCTCTGCTTTAGGCGAGTCGAACTTCCTCTCAATAATGTCCATTGCGTCCTTGCATTTGAGAATCTTAGCATCTGCTCTATGCGGCTGCATGTCTCAGATGGATGCAAGACGCAACTTGCAAATCGTGAGCACAAAATAATGCGCGCGAAATGCCCTGGAGCCCAAATGACAACGGACTCAACATGGCATGCCCAAAAAAAACATGCAACTCAATTGTTGCAACACTACCTGCGGATTTGCATCGATTGCAATTGTGATCAGCGTAGATATGATATGCGAGAAGTCG